TCTATCTATCTATCTATCTATCTATCTATCTATCTATCTATCTATCTTCTAATCCCTCATCTTAATCTATTTTCCCCCTTAATAACTGAAAAGTTGAGATATGTATGCCACAATGATTGTGAGAGAACAATTTCCCAACCTACCCAACAAAAATCGTTCTGTTTGTTTTTCAAAAGAAGCCTCCAGGAGCCATTCTAACATGGAAGAGAAAACTAAAATACCTCCTTCCTATCTTCTACAGTCCCAGTGCTGGTCAGCTTTCCACAATGGCTGCTATTTACAGAATAAAATAAATAAATATTTGCACAATGCACTAAGCCATAATCTGGGTTGGGTTTACTGTGGTATATATACTCACCCATTAAGATGTGTTAACTGTGATTCATGACCAGCATTGATGATTTTACCTAGTTTTGGAAATGAAACAGTTGCAAAAAAAACAACCAAGCTCAGAGAGTATCAAGGACCGCTTACTGGCTTATTAATGGCTTGCTATTTAGTGTGAAATGAGCCACTATACTCTTGGCTTGGAAAGATATCTGCCTCAGGCATCCCAGTGGCATTTTGTGGTATACAAACCACATCTGTGCACAGATATTCAGTAGCAAAGCCATCAATGTTTGTGGATGCTATTTTTTTTTACCTTATCTATATATAGTAGTTTCATATACTACAGACTCCATAAGGATTCCCAGCTTTGTTTACAAAGTCGCATGAACTTAGTCAACAAACAAAAATAAATACATGAGTATAAATATAATATCAATCCACTTTGGTGTCCTCAACCTTATGATTCCTTGACAGAAATGAATTACCAAGTACGAGCTGTGTTGGTGCAGTGGCTAGAATGCAGTACTGCAGGCTACTTCGGCTGACTGCCGGCTGCCACAATTTGGAAGTTCGAGTCTCACCCGCTCAAGGTTGACTCAGCCTTCCATCCTTCCAAGGTCAGTAAAATGAGGACCCAGATTGTTGGAGGCGATATGCCAACTCTGTAAAGCGTTTGGAGAGGGTTGTAAAGCACTGTGAAGCAGCATATAAGTCTAAGTGCTATTGCTATTGCTATTCCATAAAGTTAAACAAATGGTTTGGTATGAATTCAAGCCACCAAATGCCATGATTTGTTTGACTTTCATACTTCCTGAAAATCAAGATACATTATTAGAGTATGGTTAAATATACTGCATAAACATATCCCTGTAAAGTGTTTTGGTGGAGTAGTTCATGATTATCTACTTCATCCTCCACATTGATTATATTTCCTATTAGTTTCCCAAACAAGTTTCTAACTAGGTCCAGATTTGTTTACTTTGTTCAGCAAATCAGCAAAGCCTGGTTTAATGCTTATAACAGTTTACTGCCTTCAAAAGCTATCAGACAATGAAGGCTAATTACGATAAAGATGCATTTATGTATTAGAGTATCAGCATAATTTCAAACTGTCTATTTCCCCCCTAATTATGGCATTATTTTAACTCGATGTTCTTTCTTTGAAAATAACAAAACTAAATAATCTAGACCGTGGGTGTCAAACTCGTGACAACATGTTGTCATGTGATGTATCACAACTTTTGCCCCTTTGCTAAACCGGGGGTGGGCATGGCCAGTGCATGACACATATGGCCTGTGGGCTGCAAATTTGACATCCCTGATCTAGACTATTAGATTAATCTACCATTCCTTATATGTTGGAGTTATACTACTAAGAATTCTTAGCAGCACAGCCTTTTCTGTTTCAGTATATCAGTAAGTTGGAGCAGGCTGGCTTACATAGTAATAT